TTTTCAGTGGAATCGGGCGGGTTCCAAGCTTTCTTGATGAATAAGAGCTTGTGGGCCACGGCCCGTAGCCCAGATTTCCAAAGTCTGACCCACTTTTCCCGGCCAGGACAGCTATGAGGGTGGGAGGAGATCTGACGCCGGTGCGGGTTTTGCCGATGGCTGTTTTGACTTGTAAGATAGAGGGGTTTTTTATTTCCCTGTGCCTCCCTCCCGCCCTTTGATCGGAGGGGAGGCTCTGAAAGATGGTTTCCCTAAAACCTTTCTTTTTCGGCGTCGTGGGGCGAGGGAGCCGGGAGGGGATTGTTGTGAAATAGGATCTGTTGCCGCTCTGAGAATGAGTTGGCCGACTCCGCGGGGAGGACGAAAACCTATCTTGCTTAGGGAGGGGCTTGGGGCGGCTTCTTTCAGAACCGGCGGCTCGGGGAGCCCGAGATCAAAGCGAGGAGGGTGGGTCGTCTTCGGAGTGGCTTTACCCTGACGAACGACAGCCCTTCAGAACTTGTGACTCGGGCCTGCGGTTCGTGTTTATTTGCCCTTGGAAGACGCTGGGCTGGGCCGGGCTGCATTTTTTGTATTTAGCAGTTAATGGCTGGCCGGGCCCTCCCATGGCTTTTTTTTCCTTCAAGCCTTTGCTGCCCCCTGGTGACCGCCGTCGGGATTGTCGCCTTTTTTTTACTACCTAAAGTTTGTAAACAGGAATCACGTGGTCTGCCACCCGCCTCGCGGCTCCGCCTGCCGTCCGGGTCTGGGAGGAAAGGGTGGGGGTGTTTGCCCGGTTCCGGAGGGTGGGAGGACGGCCTCCGAGAGGGCACCCTGGCCTGGGGTGTGGAGGCCGGTCTGGTTCTTCCCTCCGAAAGCCGGGGCCGGCCGGCGTTGGGGCTGCGCCAGGCCGTCCGTTCTCGGGCTGCTTTGTTAGGGTTTAGTTTATGGCTGGGGCCCATAAGGGTGGGTGCCGCATTTCTACTTTCCTGGTAGCCCAGGAGGCAAAAGTCAGCCCGCCCAGCTCCTGAGGGAAGGGAGTGGGCGCTTTGCTTTTCCTTTTTAAGTAAAGCTTTGGCTGAGCCCGTTTTCCCTCCCCGCTCGGCGTGCAGGCACCCGGGTGTACAGCCCTCCCGAATGGATTCGCTACCATCGCTACCACGGCAGGTCTGCGGCCGTGTGGTCCCTGGGGATCCTGCTCTACGACATGGTGTGCGGAGACATCCCTTTCGAGCAGGACGAGGAGATCGTGCGGGGCCAGGTCTTCTTCCGGCAGCGCGTCTCCTCAGGTGACTTCCAGGAACCTGCAGGCCAGCGGGCTGTGACCTGTGGCGTAGGGTTTGTGGGCCACCTGCTCGCTCACTGCGTTTTGGGTTTCCTTGGGAGGCCCAAGCGGGAGCACAAGACAGTTCAGTTTCTCTGGGAAGTTTTATTTCTGGTCTGGGGCATCAGACCCCCAGTGTTCTGAGTGCTATGAGGCAAGTGCTCTGCCACCGAGCTGTACTATTCGGTTTTTTTCTTTAATTGGAGATGGTCCTATTCTGTAACCTAGGCTGGGCTTGAACTCTCCAAAATCTTCCTGCCTCAGCCTCCTGAGTGATGGGATTACAGGCGTGCACCGCTGTGCCAGGCCGAATACTCCCTGTTCTTAAATTTGGTTTTGTAATTCCAGTACTCCAGAGGCTGAGACAAGGCAGATCTCAGGGTTAAGCCAGTCCAGCCTGGGCAATTTAAACTTAGCAAGACCCTGTCGCAGAAAAAGGGAGAGAGTCTTGAGTTGTAGCTCAGTTGAGAAGGCTCTGGATGGGATTCCATCCCTGGTACCACCTGAGAGAGTGTAAAACACCCAGAGTAAAAACACCTGGGCTTTTCCCCCACCTCCCTCCTCTGTTGTGGTCTGGGTGAGCTCATGCTGGCTGGTGATCACATTTGTAAGTTGAGGTGAGGTGAGTCACCTTGTCCTCCTGGTGGTGACTCCTGAGAGTCTGGCGTCATCACCTGCCCATTTCTGAGTGGGCGGCCTGGGAAAGGCCTGGGCTCTTGAAGTTTGGAAACTGCATATTTTAAGAGGGAGCTGGCCTGTCCTGAATTCTCCAGGTCGAGTGCATTCTTGTCCCAGTGTTGTCACCGGGGCGCCTTGCTGAGGGGAGCCGGCATCCCCAGGCAGCCTAGCCCTGACCCCCGTGTCCCCCTCCACAGAGTGTCAGCACCTCATCCGCTGGTGCCTGGCCCTGCGGCCCTCCGACCGGCCAACCTTCGAGGAAATCCAGAACCACCCATGGATGCAGGACGCCCTCCTGCCCCAGGAGACGGCTGAGATCCCCCTGCACAGCCTGTCGCCGGGAACCAGCAAATAGCCGGTCCGGGCCAGGTCCTCCCTTCCCCGCCAGGCCGTGGGCCGTAGCGCCAGCCTCAGGCTTCCCATCCCCAGTGACACCAGGCCACCTGCCCGGGCCAGCAAGACAGTGCGACACAACTACAGCGACTCATTCCGGGCCCAGGCTGAGGCCCCACCCGGTGCCTCCTCAGCCCCTGGGAGAGGCTTTCCTCACTCTCCTCTCCTCTGGTGCCGGCTGGGCGGGCGGCGGGGGGCCGGGCCGGGTAGCTCTAGCGTCATTTGAAGTCCCTGTCACCTCTTCCGACTCTTCTGAGTGCCTTCCGCGGGGACTCCGGCTGTGCTGGGAGAAATACTTGAACTTAACCTCTTTACCTGCTGCTTCCCCCAAATCTGCCTGGGTTGGGTCCCCCGTTCCTGCCCCTCCTCTATGCGAAAGGTGCCGCGGGAGAGGCCTCGGGCGCCCTCCTTTCTGCCTCCTTTAGTAAAACTCCAGTGAACTGTCTTCCTCTTCGGTTTTTACTTAACCTGTTTCCAAGCCAGGACCTCACACACACACACACACACACACACACACACACACACGCGTGCGCACACACACACACACACACGCACGAACAATGCAAACAGAAAAGCTGTAAATGTGTACAGTTGGCATGGTAGTATACAAAAGGATCGTAGTTCTAATGTTTTAACAAGTCTTTTAAGTTATTTTATCTTTTTTTTTCCTGTTTTTGGAAAGATGCTCATTCTAACCCAGAGGTCGATGTTAAGTATTTATTTATTTATTTATTTGGTTCCCGCCCTTTCCAAACTTCCGAAACTACTGTCCTAGGTTTTTGGGGGGGTTTGCGTTTGATTTTTTTTTTTTCCTCTCCTTTCCTCCTCTGACTTGGGGAACTTTTGGGGAGGGCTGCGATGCTTGCTGTGTGTAGGGTGAGGGGACCCAGGTGGGACGGCTCGGGACTCCCTGGCTTGTCTGTCGGTTGGAGGTGGGGACTGGACAGCGTGTGCCTTGCGGTCCTCCCTGGGGCTGGGTTTCGAGCAGCATGTGGCCTGCTGGTTTTATGTGAGCAAATACTGTACAGGGGAATAAAAGAGATCTTATTTTTTTTTTTTTTATACTTGGCGTTTTTTGAATAAAAACTTTTGTCTTAACTTGTGGTTCCTAGTTAGTTGTTGGGGTAGGGGTGCGAGGGAGGGGCCGGAAGAGCTGGGGGGAGGCTCTCTTCCCAGATGTCCAGGCTGGGGCTAGGATCTTGTGGACACGATTTGGAGGCTGACAGCCATGTGGCTGTAGGAGCTAGTGGCAGGAGACCAGTAACACGGTTTGTTATTTCTTCCCCGGGCAAAGCATTTTGAAGCCTGGTGTGGCACGGGCATATATACTGCAGTCCCAGTTGGTGACACCTGGGAGGCTGAGGCAGGAGGGTCACAGTTCAAGGCCAGCCTGGGGTACATAGTTGAAGTCCAGCCCGAATGACATGGAGAGACCTATTTTAAAAAAAAAAAATCTGGTTACGAGCAAGGCCTCTCCATCCTCTACAGTAAACCACTTTGAGCATTACTGGAAAAGTGTGCCTTATTGTGTGGGTCCTGAGTACAGTCCCCTGTCATCAGCGTTAGGCTCAGTCATAGAAGCGACCCCTGCAGATGTCCGCTCCTGTGTTCTTACTGCGTGTTCTCATTCGCATCTTTAGCCAGGGCTGTCCACGGGGCTGTGACAGGCCCTTCTCTATTTTGTGACAGTTCAGCTAAGACTAGGCAGCGGAGGCTGTGAAACCCCAAAACCACCTGGGGCCATCCCAGCATTCAGGAGGCTGAGGCAGGACTGCTGTGAGTTCCAGGCTAGCCTACACAGCGAGGTATTGTCAAAAAAAAAAAAAAATCAAATTTTGTTTTTTCTGTGTCCACAAACCCTCTGGACCCCCGGGCTTGAGCCCCTTGGCCCATCCGTGGACCCATCCTTTTGTCCATACCAGGCCTGGACGGGGTCCAAAGCCGGCTCAGCCCCACGTGGCTGGGAGAGGAAGGAAGGGTTTCTTGGTCCTGGGGCGCCTTCCTGAGGTTCCCTTTCCCTTCCCCTCCACCCTGTCCACTGCCAGCCTCATGGGGTCTGAGCTCTGCTAGGCTAACCAACCCTTTTGCAGTAAAGTTGCACCTGAACTATTAAAAAGTTGCTCCGAACTTCTGATGAAATCAGGAAAAGCCTCACCCTCTCTCCCTTGATGTGTTTGCTTTCTTTCGTTTGTATTTGAGATGGGTCTTGCTGTGTAGTTCAGGCTGACCTTGAACTCACTATGTAGCCCAGGTTGGCCCAGAACTCAGTTGGCCCTCCTGCCTCAGCCTCCCCAGTGCTGGGATTACAGGTGTGCACCATGCTTGTAATCAATTTGAGGATCTGCTCTGGACTGAGACTGGGCGGTTTAGCACACCCTGAGCCTGAGAGCTCCTTGCTCCTGGGTCAGGGTACCAGGAAGACGAGCTTACATACCACATTCACAGTAGAATTTGGGAGAGACACAGGGCACATAAGGTCCTGGCCTCATGGAGGCTCCCAGCTCTGAGTGAGGTTTATGCTTGGGGAGGGGGCTCCTGGATTCCTTTGGTGATGCTTCATCTAAACCAGGCAGAGATGAAGGTAGGGTCACATGCTAACCAGCAGCCCGGTGAGAATTGGATTTGTCTTAAATAGTTTGTGATAAATCTGCTGGGCATGGCTGCACATGCCTGTCGTCCCAGCACTGGGGAGGCTGAAGCAGGAGGATCACCTCGACTTTGAGGCCAAAATGGGCTACGTACAAAAAGAAACAGTGTCCATGTCAGAATCCGGAGCAGGGGACCGGATCATGCTCACCGCCTCTGCTGTCCTTGATTGTCCTTGTTTGCTTTTGTGGGGAGTGGATGTGGAACCCGGGGCCCTGTGCAAGCCGCTGTGACCCTTAATGTCTGCGTGGCTTGGCCATCGTCGGCTCTCAGACCCTCCTGGGCCCGGGATCTGGAGGACAGGGTGATTTTCTCCAGTCCAGGGTCAGGTTAGCATGGGTGTAAAACACTCCCTGCCGGGCCTGGGATTTAGCTCAGCAAGCGCAAGATCCCAAGTTCGATCCCCAGTACCCAAAAAAACAAAACAATAAAACCCTTCCCGTGCGCCTCTCACCTCCATCCTCCCAGCCCAGGGAGGAAGAGTTCAGGCCGGAGCCCGAGTGGGGGCTGGGCGCGTTTCTTGTAAATATTGCTCAGCTCCTTCAACTGCTGGCTTCTTGGAAGTGCTCACCACAGACGGCTATCGGGGGCAACGCTGACCAGATAGGGCCCTGGCCCCCTGCACTTCCGGCCCCCGATTGCCAAGAGTAGGGTTGCGCTGACCCCCGGCGCCCCTGTGGGAGGAAGTACGAAAATAAGCAGAACTAGGCCTAGCCCAGAAGCACTTTCTTTTTATTCATCGGGACAGGATATCCGACATAACAGAATTGGATTCTTCATGACCTTCGGTTCAGAATAATTTCTCATCACTGGTGCATGGGGGGCCAGCTGTTGTGTTTTATTAGATTGGACAGCCGACCCTCCACCCTGTTCAAGTCACAGAAGAAGGCCACTTGGGAAGCTGAGGCAGGAGGATCGGAAATTCTAGGCTAGCCCGGGTCATTTATGAGACAGGTCTTGAGATTTAAAAAAAACCTGGCATGGTGACACACGCCTAGTATCCCAGCACTCGGGGAGGCTGAGGCAGGAGGTTTGCAAATTTAAGCCCCGTTTGGGCAACTTCGTGACTTATCGAGAACTTGTCTCAAAAGAAAATATACAAAAGGGCTGGGGGGTGTAGCCCAGTGTGAAGGCTCTGGGTTCAAACTCCAGTACCACAAAAGAAAACAAGCTGTGGATAGTGATGTATGCCTAAATTAATCCCAGCACTCGGGAGGCTGAGGCAGGAGGATCATCACGAGTTTGAGGCCAGCCTGGGCTACAAAGCTACAAAGTGAGACCCTTTCTCAAACAACTTTAGCGACCCCATGTACCTGTCTACATGACATTAGTCCAGCTCCCGGGTAAAACCTATCAATCACGCTTTTTGTGTTTAGCATTTTCTTTTCTATTTGTTTATAGGTTTTTGTTTGTCTTTATTTGGTGGGGGGGTTGAAACAGGGTCTCCCTATGTAGGTGAGACTGACCTGGAACTCATGATGTAGCCCAGGCTGGTCTCACAGTGATCCCCCTGCCTCAGCCTCCCAAATGCTGGGATTACAAGCGTGGACCACCACGCCCAGCTTTACAATGTTTTGTTTTTTTTGAGTCAGGGTCTCACTCTGTAATCCAGACTGGCTTTGAAGTCTCAGTGATCCTCCTGCCTCGGCCTCCCAAGTGCTGGGATTACAGGTGTGCCACAAAGCTGGGCAAATTTTCTCACCTGGCTTCTTTCACTTAGCTTGCTTGCTTCTCTTTCTCCCTCCCTCCCTCTCTCTCTGTCCCTCTCTCTCCCTCCCTCCCTCTCCCCCCACCTTCTTTCTTTTTCTGGTGCCAGGACTCAAACTCTAGACCTTGCACTTGTCAGGCAGGCACAGTGCCACTGACCTACAGCCCTGGCAAGTTTTCTTACTTTTAAAAGTAGTTTCTATTTCATAGGCATAAGTCTGAGAGATGTGTAGTATTCCGTTCTCTTTTGTCTTATTTTGTGTTGGATGCTGGCAAATGAACTCAGGGCCTCTGCAAGTCAAGTATGCAACCCCAGAGGGCGAATTCCAGCTGTTCTCAAACTTTGCATCAGAGTAGCCCTCTGTGCCTAGCAGAGGCCCGCTCTCCACACTACTGAGGTCCGGTTGCACTCCCACGGCAAGATGGAGCTGGGGTGCCTCCCTGTACCTCCCTGCAGGAGGCACCCAGGGTACCCAGCACGGACCCCCTTTGCAAGGCTGGCCCTGGGCTTCTCCTGCCTCCCTCAGAGCTGACTGACAGCAGTGATCGGGTAAGTGTCACAGCCGAGCCAAAGCCAGATGTTGGGCAGAACCCCATGAGATCTGTGGGGTATGTACAGCGGGTCCCCAAGTTACGACCCAGCCTGGCATACAAACAATTTGGGATACAACCAGTTTTAATTGTCACTTGAGTTATAACCTGAATACCAGCTGCTTGTGCTCCTGGATGGTCTCAGGTACAGATTTAACCCTTCAAGACCTGACAGCATCATTTCCTGTGTGGGATTCACTGAGAAATCCTGGGCCAGTGTCTCTCTGAGGACACCGGGAGCTGACTGGAGGAAAGTGTGGCCTAAAATTACACAGGAGAGAGACTTGGAAGGCAGCTGACCAACCTGAGTTACAACCAGCCCTAAAGGAATGAACTGAGTTCGTAAGTCAAGAGTCCTTGGAGCCGGGAATTTGGCTCAGTGGTTCCCCTGCCTGCCTTGCAATTGAAAGGGCCTAGGTTCAATCCCCAGTACCAAAAAAAAAGTCCTGTGTATTTCGTTTGTTTGGGGAACACTGGGGATTGAACCCAGGGCCTTCACACTTCACGCTACATCCCCAGCACTTTCCTAACTTTTCATTTTCAGCCAGGTGTGGTAGCAGTTTTTTTTTTTTTTTTTTTTTTTTTGGCATCAGGGACCTCACCCTTGCGAAGCCGGCGGCAGAACCACTGAGCAAAATCCCTGGCCCTTAAACTGTTTGGTAAGATAATTCTTTTTTTAATTTAGTACCGAGGATCAAACTCAGGACCTTGTGCTTGCAAGGCAGTCGGTGGAACCACTGAGCTAAATTCCCAGCCCTATGGTAGCACATGCTTTTTATCCCAGCACTAGGGAGGCCGAGGCAAGAGGATCTCTGTGAGTTCAGGACCAGCCTGGGCTACAAAGAGAGACTTTGTCTGAAAAAAAAAAGGTACAAAGGGAATTAAAGTTCTTTGATACAATCCTGCCTCACCAGAGAGACATACTTTTAGCATATCCATCTTTACAGAGTAGAGCTCATACTTTTGGTAATTTAACAATGTGCTCTCTTGACGTATTTCTGTTTCCATAACTATGCTAAATGTGATCATTTTTATCTAGCTTTGCTAGAGCTATATAGATACATAATTAATTTCAGCCATCCCCCAAACTCCACCATTGCCTATAAAATTTCCTATTATAAAACAGGGCTGG